GTTCGTCCGGCACACCCAAATCTCGGCCCTTCACCCGTGGGAAGCTTCGATTCCAGTGCCTCGAGAGAACGTCCGCCTGCACCTCGATGGATGGCACAAAACAATAAGAGCCAGGATTCCGTTGCTACCTCCTTTACTGCCCGAAGTGACGACGTTTCTAGCCTACCACCGCGATCTCGCAATGGCCCGAACGGGCCAGGATCGTATGGCAGATTTGGGGAGACTGCCGATAATCGAACACCAGCTATACTTACACCACCTCAGCCTCCACCTCAACCTCAGTCTTCGCCCAAGTCCCAACCGCCATCCATTCTCTCACCTCCTCAACCTCCACAGCCAGTTCCTTCACCCCTCCAGTTAGAAAGACCGCCCCCGGAGAGGAGACGGCCGCCCATGGACCCGACTCGCCCTCAGGATCGAGACTTGGTTCCCCCACCACTGATCAGTCCCAACAAGGAGCCAATGGCCCCTCCGCCTCGCAGCAGCGAACGTGTTGTCCCAAGAATGGACAACTCAAGTCAAAAGTCGGCAAACAGCTCTTTCACCGGAAGTGTTCTGGAACAACCCAAGCCACCACCCACAGGACGATTACCAGATCCGCCAAAACGTGAGCCGCTTCCTACACCTGCTGCCCTCAGGCCGGGATCGTCACAATCTCGTACATCGGCTCAGACTCCAACTCCTACTGGCTATCAACAGGCTGGCCCAGCTCGAACCAACACATCCAGTCCAGGACCATCTCCGGGTCGTATGCCTAGCCCTGCACGAGCTCGGGGCCCCAGCCCTGCACCAGCCCGTGTACCTAGTCCCGCGCCAGCACGCGTACCTACACCTTCACAAACTCAATCGCCAAACCCTGCAGTGGCCCTCTCTCCAGGCTCTGGGGGAGGAGGCTCTTCGGATGTCTCGCCAATGACAGTGAGCGTGCCCAGGTTTGCAAACATGCAGCCACCTCCTGAGCCTCCCAAACAAGAGTCGCCCCAGCCAGTAGATGAGCCATCACCTGGAGAACAGGGTACAGAAATCTCCGACCAAGACTCCAACCCATCCCCAGCAATCTCAGGTCAAGAGTCAAAGCCTGGCTTGGGCCCTATGATCAAAGTCAAAAAGTCAAGGAACGAAATTGCTGGCGCCCTATGGAAGGCTGCATCTGCGGCGAATGCCGCTACCGCCTTCAAACCTAGACCTGGTGGTGCTGGAGAGCGCTTGCGTCTTTTGAAGAACAAAACGGAGGATGGCCCAGATGGAATCAGCGGCGTTGTGCCGGCGCCGCCAAGACCATCCGAACAACCTACGCCCGAAGAAACACCTGTAGAGACACCCATGACCGAAGAAGAAAACAAACAGCTGGAGGAGCAGAAGCCAGCTGCACCGTCCAAGTCAGCGAATCGAATGTCCCTGGTTCCTGAAGTTAAGATTACTCTCCCAACGAGTAGGCCTGTTAGTGCACATGGCCCACCACAGGAAGTGAAACCAAAGGAGCCCGAGAAGAAAGAGCCGCGTCGCTCCATTAATGCGGGTAATGACATGAAGTACCTGCAGTCATTAGGTGTTAACCCTGCCATCCTTGATGAAAGGAGTGAGGACTTCGCTCAATGGCTGGATTATTTCGGCTGGATTCCGGGAGATCAAATGCGAGGTCGCAACGTTGAGGAAATGAGGGATGATTTGGAGCGCGAACTCAACAAAGCCCAAGCTGGTGGCTGGCTGGCTCGCTTCCGCGAAGAAGACGAGCGTGTCGACGCGATCAAACTAGGTCTTGATGTTGCCATGGCCGAGTGTGAGGAGCTGGATAATCTGCTCACACTCTATTCCGTCGAACTATCGGTATGTGTCCTCGCCGACTCGGAAAACCCCTTACTGACACGAAATAGACACTCTCAGAGGATATTGCCTACATTGAAGCCCAAGGTCAGGGTCTCCAAGTGCAGACTGCAAACCAGAAGCTACTCAAGAAAGAACTCGAGTCCTTGCTTGAGACTTGCGCCATCACATCAAACGAGCTGGAAGTACTTAGAGCATCGCCTTTGGATGATATCAATGGGCTACAAGAGGTCGAATCTTCTCTTGTGACACTCTACAAGGCCATGATCAAGATTGATCCTTCTCGCACTAGCGCTGATCAGTTGAAGGTGGATGTCACATCAGACACAAACCAGACCCTTGGTCTCAACCCCGATTTCAACCAGATGCGAATCGTTCAGGAGAAGAAGCAGGTTTATGATCAAGAGAGTGCCATGTTCATTGGCAGGTTTGTTGCTTTTATGTCCCGACAGTTTGACCAGGCCTTCACTGAGACAAAGCTTGCTATGGAAGGAGCTTTGTCGAGACATGTGGATTCAACACATCACGACCTCGGCCGTGACACACTCTGGCAATTCAGCCCTCTGATGCTTTACGCCAGGGACATGCATGGCGAAGAGTGGAACCAGGTTATTCAAATCTACCAAGACAAGAGCCAGCCTGTTTACCGGGTCGAGTTTCAGGCTGTCATTGCGGCTTGGCGTAGGAATGCCAGGAAGATGACTGGAGAGGACGCTGAAATGCTATTCACGTCAGCAATTGAGAAGAACCAAGACGGAGGCGTAGCTACCACTGCCAGAAAGCTGACAGTCAAGCGCAGCGGAACTTTGGCCCGGCTCCGATCCCCTCGAGAAGACGGTGGTAATAAATCAAAGGTTGACAAGGGAGCAGGCGACAACCAAAACCCGCCTTATGAAGTCTTTGCCGGAGTGCTGGATAACTTGCTCCCCTTGATGCAGATGGAGCAAAACTTCATTGTTGACTTTTTCCATGCAACAACACTTGAACAAATCGATTTCCCTGATGCTGTCGCTGCGACACCGCCATATGACCGGGGAGGTACCGATCTCAGAAGACCACGACTGATGGAACCCGATCGAGACCTGGCCAGACGTATTCTCCGTGCCATGGAGGTCATTTTCACGTTCCTAGAGTCCGAGCTACTTCGTCTCATGGAATGGGTTGTTGGGCAAGATCCCTTGTGAGTTCAAACATATGAAGCGTCACCTACAGTTTGCTAACAGCTTTCCAGGCAAGGAATCGGTGTCCTAGGGACTTTGGAGAAGTATATCGCTGACGTCGGCCAATCCAACCAAGAGTTCCTTAATACTCTCTTGCAAAAGCTCCATGGCCATTTAGAAATCCGCTTTAAGAAGTTTGTCGACGAGCAGCTTCGTGCTATCGAAGACACCAAGGTCAAGATTAGCAAGCGAAAGGGTGTTATTGCATTCATTCGTATCTTCCCTCTCTTTTCAGCGGCTGTTGAGGGCATGTTGGTTGGTGTCGACGCATCACTAGCAGCCCGAGGCACTATCGATCGTGAATACGACCGTATACTCAAGACCATGTTTGACTCGCTCATGGTTATCGCAAGAGAGAACCCCTCGGTCGGCATCACAACCGGTTCTGCGGACCCAGAAGATAAGGAGGCGCTCAACTTCCATATTCTACTGATTGAGAATATGAACCATTTCCTGGAAGAGACGGAAACTCGAGGACTGGATGTGCTTGAGGAATGGAAGGAAAAGGCCAATTCGACATACTACGAACATATGAACCTGTACCTCAATGCAGTAATGCGTCGACCACTTGGCAAAGTTTTGGAGCAGCTCGAGAGTATGGAGGCTCAATTACAGACAGGCAAATCACCGGCATCGATCGCCGCGCAGCCATCCAACAGCAAAACGGTCTTCAACAAGGTTCTCGGCAACTACGACTCCAAGGAGATCCGGAAGGGTATCGAAGCGCTACGCAAACGTGTTGAGAAGCACTTTGGTGACGCCGACGACCCAGCCCTTAGCCGAAACTTGGTTATCAAGGTGCTGTCAGAGTGCGAGCAGTTCTACGAAAAGGTCGAGAGACGGGTGGGTGCAGTTACGACCAATGTTTACGGTGGTGATATCCTTTTCGAATGGCCTCGAGCCGACGTCAAGGCTGCATTCCGTTGAGTACCAGGTGTTTAGAGTGAATGGGAATATGATCACATGAATCTGCTGTATGAATACTATAGTTACTATTGGCGTGCATGATCAGTCATGGGGGAGTAAACGAGGCGCCTTTTCGTGGCAAATAGGGATGAGCCGAGCGTTGGACGGATGAGTTTTGGTCTATCTCAATATGTTTACATGAGCGAATGAGTGATTGTTCTTTTGTATACAAATATGAGCATCCAAGCATAAAGTCTTTCATGATTGTGAAGTACTATCTAGTAAATCGAGAAATTCGCTGTGCCTCAGTTCCCAATATAACGAACAGCCCTGAAGACCTCGAAGTTTGGGCAGTTCTATCCTGCAATCATAGGCACGACTTAGTAGGTTTTATTACAACTTTAGAAATGGCGAGACTTCCTGCCTAGTCTGGCCATAGGAGTACGACCTCAGTTCCCAGTATGACAGATGGCCTTGAAGCCTCTCGTTTGGGTAGTTCTATCCTGCAGGTAGGATAGCTTCATTACCATGGGTTCATTCATCATAGGCGCGACTAGTTGCTTGTCACGACTGTAGAAATGGCGAGACTTCCTGCTTGGTCTGGCCATAGACCTCAGTTCCCAACATGATAAGTAGAGATGGCACGTTCCTCAGCTTTATCATCATGGGCCCATCATTGGTGCGATGTGCAAAGTGCACATGAAGGGAAGAAGAGAGAGGGGAACTGGGAATGGTAGGAGACGGGCTTTATATATCAAGATAAAACTTTATTCATACAAAAGCTTACTTGGAACTTAGACACACATGACTACAAGTTTCCCATATACATACTGTAGTTATCTAGATGTAGTAGGCGCTGGCAAGAGAATACACTTTACGCGACAAGTCGCGTCGCGATAAATGACATACGCCACTTAACGCCCTTGGGCCGCCCTGTGGCTCCACCCATCATTAACATCGAAGCTGCCTAGATCATGCCGTCACTCACATATTAAATCACCAACCTTTGTACTGTGCAAGTATATCCGATTTTTTATAATCATCATAACAATGACGCCAAAAACCCGCTCGGGGGGTGTCCCCGCTGCGAGCCGCGTCTATCATTCAACGCCCGCCCAACAGCAAGCACATTTCCCAGCACGCAAGAAGGTTGTACGCACATATGGAAAGCAGAATAGAAAGAAACAAGCAGAGACGCCCTCGAAGCTCTTGCGACAACAAACACTCACACAATTCGACTTTGTATCGAGCTTCGAAGATCGTGATCCGATTGTTTTGAGCGATAGTGAAGAAGACGAGATGGGAGCTGATAAGGAAGGAGAGGAGAATAACGAAGACGAAGAGCAAAAGACACATGACGAAGATGACGAGGAACCTATATCGAGTGGTAGAAAACGAAGAGCGACTGCAAAGAAAGCCTCCGCTAAGAATACCCGGTCGAAACGCAGAAGAACGCTAGGAGATGATACGGATGAACAACAACCCAAACCAAAGAAAGAAAAGAAATCGAGCCGGCGCAAGACAATGGGAGATGCACCCAGTAGTAGCTCCAGATATCACACTCAAACGTTGACCCAGTTCCTCGGCCGCGATTCAACGCCTACCGAGCTCATCAAGGACTCTGAAGATGAAGATGACGAGTTCCAGCAGTGGCTAGGAAACCCAAAGAGTCCAAGCCCGGTACATATTCGAAAGAAGAAACATGTCTCGCCCGTCAAGACTCCGAAGATTCTCAAATCAATATTGAAGCGCAAACCGGAAGAGGACCTGCCTCAGCGCGAGGAATCTGTTGTGCCGCAAACACCAGACAAGCAGACGCCAGGCAAGCGAGCTAAATCGGTCGAGATACCTTCCTCGAGCCAGTTATCCGCGCCGCCAAGTATATCATCTACACCCGCTAGCATGATGCTCGAACGGTACGGTCCTGCTGATCGCGTGTCGGTATCGCCTGCGAAAAGAAAGATGTCGTCACCTGCTGTGCTATCACCACTTAAGGAGCTTAAGGGTAAGCCTCGAGTGGCTACAACAACTCGAAAGCATGAACGCATCATTCAAGATTCTTATGCTACTGATAGCTGGGGGTCAACCGGCCGTACACCTCTGCGAGAACTCCCTGTGGACTCGCCTAATAAAACTCCTAGGAGTATTCTTGAGCCGCTGGAGTCATCTTCTGGATTGGAAGAGATAGAGACGCCCACTAAAACGCGCAGAGGCGGTAGTACCGAACTCGGCGGAAGCCAAAGAAGTGGCAGTCCTACACCAAGAATGAAGAAGGTATCACCAGGCAGTGGCAAGAAGAGAGTTATGCTTGAGATTCCCGATTCGGAAGAAGAGGACGACGAAGATTTTGGCGAGGATGAGAATGAGGACGAGGGTCAGGATGAGGATGAGGATGCAGAGAACACATTTGTTGCTGGTGCTGAAACACAGCTTGTGATGAGTGAGCTGGCTTCATCAGAGGAGGAGATTATGAGAGTATCCTCTTCAGCACAATCAGAAACTGTCAGTACTACTACTACTAAACGGCAGGCCTTCGCTCCGATAATCTCGGAGGAATCTTCCAGCTCCTTATCGCTGCCGCCCCTTAGTTCACGACAAACAGAACCCCGTCCCCCTTCATCAACACCCAAAGCGAGAAGTCGTCCAGAAAAGCGCGTTCGCAATCCTATCCATCGCCCTCTTCCACCAACTCAAACACAACCACTGGAATCTCAGCGTGTGCCTTTGGCCACGCTACAGTCACTTCCACCTGCATCTGCCCGCACAGATGTCCTGCTCCCACTTTCACAAGACATCCTTGATGATGTTCTAGAAGGCTATCAGGCCGACCTTATCCTCAACTTCAAAATACCCGCACAGGTAGTTCGCTTCTGGTTGTACGACGGCGAACTACTACGATTTATGGCCTGCGCTGAACCTGGCCGTGTAACCGAGGGCCCAGCTTGGCGTTATCACCTCACACAGGTGTACGAGCTGAACAATCCCGTTGAAGGCGACGACATGCGTGAAGAAGGTTGGATCGATGGTGACGTTGATCGCTACGTTTATTTCCCTCCTGCTGTTGTTGGTCAACTGCTGTGGAACTTGCGACACGCCATGTTTAAGGAAGGTGATTCGCAAGATGAGTCAATGCAGATTATACAGGATGAAGATGATAGTGGAAGAGTTGATCTCTTTGTCGACTCATCACAGCCTGCTCCTGAAGATAAGCGTCCGGCTCCTACCGCAAGTCTGAGTGTGTCACAGCAGGTGGAAGAGCAGCTTAAGAGCGACTTTGCTTCATCAACACAGTTTCCTCCCTCGGATGACATTCTCGTCCCCTCTACGCCCGACGAAGAGAGTAATGAAAATCAAAACAAAACACCCCCAGCCCACATACCTCCCTCTCCTACGACCATTAAACCTCCCCCGCGTCGAACTCCCCGTACAGCGTCTTCGCACCGTGCCTCTCGGCCTTCTCTAGGCAGCGTATCTAAGCGGCCCACGGTCCGCCCGTCCCAAGCTACAACCGTCTCCCAAGCCTCCACCCCTGAAAAGCAGTCATCCTCTTCTATTCGCCGCCCTCCCATGCATTCATCCAGCAGCATCGGGCTTCCCGAGAGTCTACTAGACGGTTACGATGAGGATGCACTACATCTGCCACCGGATTACAATCCAGGCTCATCGCAGCTTCTGACAAAAAGCCAGATGCTCCCGGATAGCCTGTTGCGTGACGACACGAGGGTTCCGCCCGAGATTTGGGACTCGGATGAAGATGAACGGCTGTAGCGACTTTTGTGACTTTTATTGTTTTGGGCTTGTAACATTATGCTTTATGAAATGGCTCGCTGGATTGAATAGTCAGGATGACAATGGATTCACTCCTTGGAAATGTATTTACGAAACGCAAGTTTGGTGTTAGGAGTAAGATTGAGGAATGGGTAGCAGTAAATACGACCTCGTTTATAAACATTATGTTATAAAAATAAATGACCTAAGACCATAGTCTAAATATCTCAGAGTGACCTACTTCGTCTATTGTTCCTCGAATCCCCAGGGGAGCATACATATCAATAACACCACCGAGTACAGCTGCCGACATTTCATTCACCGTATAACACAATATTGGCCCAAACACAATTTCATCTACGGTTACTCTGCTTAAGTGTCATATTTTAATATCATCTTTTCCCACCAGCTCATTGACCCACGGAAAAGACTTCAAAGGTTTGCCATGCCCATACCAGCAATTGTCATCAAAAAAGAAGATAAAAGTCCTGCGCCACTCCTCAAGCCATGCAATATTGTGCTTCTGTAGACACAAAATAAGACGCCCTGTCTAATTCCATCATTCCAGTCCATCGCGGGGTAGTATCGTTTCATCAGGGCATAAAGCGGAAATGAAAACTTTTCCTGCCTAATCGTCGAAGTAAACAAGGTCGACAGCGCATGGCATCATCTCATGCAGTATCTCATAAAGTAGACCAATCTAAGACAAGTGGAATGCTCCCTGACCTTCCTTGACTGCCGTGGAGAGTTGTTTCCTCATGGCCTCAATGGTAGAGTAATCTGGGAGCTTCAGATAGTTGACACATGTCATGACACTGGGTAGGTAGTCGTCAGACGTATATGGCTCTTCGCTGGGTTTGCAGACGACAGTGAACATGGGTGTCAAAGACTTGAATCCTGCAGAAAGTTAGAAACCGTTCACTCATTATCTGTGGGCTGTACGTACCTCCGATAGGAAGCTTGGGGCTTCCAGTCGTGAACTGTAAAAAGTCTCGGCGTTCTGATGCGTTGAATTCACTCATAGTATGAAGCAAATTCTTGACAGTCTTACTGTCCATGTTGTAGCCATGATCGGCCCTGATGGAATCAAGTAGAGCTAGTAGTATGTTAGTAAGATCACACATGATAGCATCGGAGGTATACATACTCTCTAGAGACCAGTCCTCATCAACGCGGCCAAACAGGGTGACAAGCTCGTCGGGTGTAAAAGCACTGAGTGCTGAGTAAGGGAATACTTGTGAGAATCCAGCACGGAAAGCATCGACTTGGCGACGAACACCAGAGCCAAGAGTCATATCAATAACCTTCTCGAGGTACGTGTCTACGTTGTCGATAGTAACCCGTTTTTGCGAGCCGTTGTCTTCCAATTGGATGTTCGGGTACCCGGGCAGAGTGAAATCGAGGCACAAGTCGTCAAGCTTAACACCGTCGATGGTGATGTTTTCTGTATCGGCGACCTTTTGTGCAGGGGTACGGTTGGGGTCCTCGTCGATCTCCTTCTTGGCCAAAGCAAACTGCTTGATGGCTTTCAGTGAGCGGGCCAGGCCAGGATCGACAATTTTGACGGCTCCTAGTGACGGCTTCACTCCAGTGATGGCATCTCCAATCCGGAAGAAGATGGGATTAAAGTGAAGGTCAATGATTCGCGAGTCAATCATGGATCGCGCTACAAACTTTCCGAGCATCCTGAAAAGGTGCAAGATTCTCTCTCCATTAGGCGTTCCGGCCTCTTCGTCACTTTGAGGTCGAGGGAAGAGCCCGGTGGCTCCAGAGACAAACTCGTCTGAATCGTTTGAATCAACCTCTCGCCACAGCTTGAGCTTCTTCTTTGAGAACTCTTTTGAGACGGTCGAGTAGAACTCGAGCGTAGGGCCAAGACCAGTGCCCACTTCCTCGAAATACTCAACCTCCAGAATACTTTGTGAAGCGCCATAGAGCTCCATTACCTTCAAGGCGGATTCCAAGATCTTCTGGCGGGATATCCTTACCTTCTGTCTCTGTAGTCGGCCGAGGAATGGTCTATCATTGTTTCGATCTCTTCGGGCCTCTTCTGCCGACTGAGTGTTCTGCCACCTGGTCATCGATCTAGCATACCCAAAGGATGTAGACTGGATGAAAAGATGGCGAGTCTCAAATGGGAAGAGGAATGGGTAAAGGCGAGCAAGGTCCTCCACCCAGCTGGGGAGACAATTGCTGGCAACAATCAAAGGCTCCTCCAATTGACGGTTCAACTTTGCAGTGAGCTTTGTGTTCACAAACTGAGACAGTGGCTCAACATTGAGACCAATGACGCTGTTCTTCTTCTCAACCAAGACATCCTCAATGTTCGAGTTGAGATCATGAAGGATGTTCAGCAATCGCAAGATGGACGACGTTGTGGGATGTTTTGCGAGTGATGCAGGAATACCGTGCTCGTCCTCCCCGTCCGCTTCCGAATTAGATGTGAACGACAGAGTCTCTGCAGGTGGTGGTCCAGGGACTCGTTTAAACTTGATAGGGTGTACGGTCGACCAGATGCTTCGGCTGACATGCTCATCCGAGTTCGATGCTGAAGTGTGCACAGCGCGATAAATTGTGGTTTCGTTGGGGATCAACTTGTTGTCAAGACTGAACTCGACGTGCCAATCTTGAGGTACAGCTTGAAGAGCAGAGGCGTAAGACATGGCCCTTGATGATGACGCGGCTGGGGTGGGTGTGCCGCGAGCCCCAGCAGAAGCTTCTCCAGCATGGCTGGGCGCCTTAGATCCAGTCGGGGTCGCGATACGAGTGCCATCTTCTTTGCGTGCTGTCACATGGCCGCCCGTAGCTACCTCCATATTGACAGCCGAAGTATCACCAGGAGTCGATTCCTCATCCATATCCTCTTCAAGCTCACCAACAATAGCGTCCAGTGCACTACTTTCTCCGATGTCATCATCGTCAGTCAGTTGCTTCTCATCGGCACACTCCAGTGTATCTTGCATCTCCTCATCGTCGCCTGGGGGGGGTCGGGGAGCTGGTGGCGTGCTAGCGGCGCCATGCCGCCTCGAGGATCGGCGGAGTGAGCCTTTATCCCGAGACGATCCAGCGGGCTGATCCGGTGTGGCAGGAGCAGCCTGTGACTTTGACTTGCGGATGGTTCGTGAACTTGACGGCGTTGGGGCAGCAGGAGGCGGGGGTACTGGAGGGCCGCCTGCGAATGGGTTTCCCGCGTCGGCTGCTGCTAGTCGGGCTGCTGCTGCACTACTAAGAGGGAGGCCAGCAAAGCCAGCGCTGCTAGCCATTGCCGCAAGCGCTCGAGCGACCCCGTCCCTGCGGGCGGAACCACGAGGCCTATCTGTGATACTGAGTCGCGGCCGCAGGTAGTCGTCCAGAGACTTGAATGTTGCAATGGCATGGATCGATACCATGATGTTTCGGTACGGCTTAGGTACCTCGAGTTCGTCATCAGCAACAAGACGAAGTCTAATCTGCTTGCCTAGCATAGACGCAGGGCTGCTGTGGTTGCCATCAAATGTATTGTGATGCACTGTGATAACCTCAAAATGCTCTGACCTACTGAGCAAGTCCTGAAGCTTGTGAATCATGACGCTGAAAGGTGTCGCCGGTGACTCTGCAGTCGCTGTTTTGGGCTTTGACTTTACAGTGTAGGCCATGAAGACTTCCAAAAAGGTTGATTGAGCGGCGCGAGCTAGTTCTTCGTCAGGATTGCTGAATATTTCGAGGAGAACGCGAACCAGGCCTGATGCTAGAAGTTCTGCGCTCGTGACGCTCTCCAGGACGTCTGTATCGAAGTATGATGCAAGTTGCGCGAAAAGTTCCTTCCCTTTGTCGGCTCCAGTGTTTCCGGTCGATCGCTTGAGATAGAAGGTTTCCAGCTCGCCAGCCAATTCGGACAGGGCCTCAAGAATAGCTGTAGCCTTTGCTTTCATTGCTTGCCCGTGGCCTTCGGTTTCATGGGTCTCCAGGAACTTCTTGGCAACATCTCGGGTTCGGGACTTCATTGAGCGAACGTCGGAGATGTAGCGGCCGAGAGGAACCTCGAGAGACACAGTAGATCCTCGGGAGCTAACAGGGGACATGTCATCGTTGTTTGCCTCGCCATTTTCGTTATCATTCTCTACGTCCTCATCCTCATCGTCGTCGGATGTTTCGCGTTCCTCATCCTCCTCATCTTCGTCGTGCTCAGATTCATGGTCCGAAGAGTGTTCGTTCTCTTGTTCCGCAGTTTGTCCATCGTCGCCCTCTGATTTCTCGTTCTTTGGTTCTGGTTCAACGGGATCCTCCTCTTCGGCGATCTTGTTAATCTCCAGGAAGACACCTTCGCGGTAGAATTGGTAGCGATAGATCTTATCGAGTCTGCTGAGTAAGAGTTCGGCAGCTTGGAGTCCAAGCATGACGAGAGATGCATGATCCTGTTGCGAGAGAATAGATGCGAGGAAAGAGGCGTAGGGAACAGGAGTCAATGCCTCTACTAGGATATCCTCGTCGAGGTTGGAGAGCATCTTGAGCTGTGCTGTGAGTACCTTCTGGCGAACACTCAAGTTGACAGTACTGGAGAAGGCGTCTGTCAAAGTAGGGAAGATGATGAGAGCAAAACGGCGGACTTCGTCTTTGCAATCTTCCAAAAGCTCGATCCGCTTCTCGTTTGTGGTCCTGCGGTTTCTTCCTCCACTGGATACAGGGTGTGGCGGCTCAGTAGAGGCGATGAGCTCAACAAAGTCTCCGAAAGATGGATCGGCATTTCGCGGTAGGTTAGGAAGAAGTTCGCAGATGACATTGAGAGTTTCGATGATCTGGTCCCGGGGCCGGTGAATAAGGGCCTGCATGATTACAACGCTGTCCAGCTTTGAGGCGACATCTTCGGTGCCACTTGGCGGTGATACTCCTGTGAGAATCTGGTACAATGTCTCCACCACGTTGAGCTTGAAAAGCTCAGCAGAAAGACGAGGACTAGCTCGCGCAGTGAAAGCCAAGACCCGAAGGAATTGAGTATGGATGCTGGAGCTGATCATGTTGGTAGTGCCAGGGACCAAAAGACGCAGAACACCACGGAGAAGGTCCACACTGACAAGTTCCTCAAGCTTGTGAGGATGATATTTGAAGCTCTCCACTATACCCGACACGCAGAGCGAGGCCTGCTCAACAACACGCTGGTCGTTGCTATTGAGAACGTTGAGAAGCGTGGGCATAACATCCCGTACAACTGGAAAAGAGTCCTCGGGGATGTTGCGACAGCAGTTGGCGGCGGTCGTGACGGCGGTTCGTTGAGTACCTGTGGCAAAGAAATCGAGATATGAAAGACACGCAGTAAGTCCTCCCTCACGAACGATGCTTGTAGGATACTCGACTGAAATCTTTTCCAGCGTGCTAAGGGCTTGTTCGGCCAGATCGATAAAGGATATCTCGAGGAGTTTTTGACATAGTACCGGAACGGCGTTTCCGTAGACGACATTAGCGACACTGGCGGGCAAAGCCTCCATCAAGTTTGCCAAAGACCGACAAGCTAGTAGCATTATTTCGGGGCTTTCCTCCTTGTTCATGAGCGTAACCAGCTCCTTGACGAATGCATCTGGCGAGAAATGGCCAGTAAGATTGTCTTCGTTTGATACTAAGAGAATCTCCGAGAGCTCCTGCAGGGCTATTAGCTGCACCGAGAGGTCATCTACCCGTAGGTTGTGAAGGAGTTCCCTGAATCGCGATGTGAGGCCAGACATCATCCCCGTCAACGCTCTCAAGGTACTACTCAGACTGCCAGGAGGGCCACCGAACCCGCCAAACGGATCGTCGTCGTCGTCATCGTCATCGTATCTCCGTGATCCCTCCTCATCATCATCATCGTCGTTCTCTTCGCTATCGTCATCGTCGTGGTGGTTGATGGGAGGGGGAGGAGGCGGTGGTGGTCCTGGGTCTCTATTTTCGTCGGTGCCCGTCATTGGTGTATCTTGATCGACTGCGCTATCGAGGTTTCGTTTCGATCTTCGTGTGGTTAGGGTTGAGCCTTGTGCCGACTCTAGGTTCATGGTCAGTTCTGCGATTGATCACGCGGCTTCTGTGTTTCCTACTAACCTTGTGGAGGGCCAGTGGGCTTCTTAGAGCGGCTGGATTTTCGGCTGGAAGAACCGGAGGGGATAGAGGGTTCGGCGGGATTCGCAGATCCGGGCCTGTTATTTCTGATAGAACTTCAGTATATTGCTTTCAAGTAACCAACCTGGACCAGCCGGCGTCCAACACTTACTCTGGGCTATCCATCTCTACGGCAGGTTTTCCCTTTCGCCTGGCTCTAGGTGCTGATTGGTGATTGCTATTGGTAGTGGTAGTGGTGGGAGGAACCGCTTCGGGGATCTTTTGTCTCTTGGACCGTCGACCTGAAGATCCGGAGGACAATGCGGTGTTGGGACTCTTCTCGGGAGCGAGCCCTTTTCGCTTGCGTGAGGTTGGGGTAGCGGAGGGTGCGGTGGTCGGGACGTCAGCAGCGGCAGGAGCAATATCGTTAGTTTGGGCTGCCTGACTCGCTGCTTGACGAGCCGAAGATCTGGTGATTCTAGAAGACATAATTGTCGTAAGCTTTGTACTGACGATGCATCTGAAAGAAAAAGCAGATAATGAGGCAGTGTCTAAGGTGCGGCCGACGTGTGTTGCACGAGGAAGATGAAAGGGAGATGAAGAGAGGGAAGCACAAGCACGAGCCGCGGCCGAAAGTCAAGTGCTTCAAAGATGATGTTTGTTTGTTTGTGGCCGCCTGGGGTTTTCCTGGTCGAGGAATAGCAAGGTCCAGGCTTAGATATCCGAAAGCTTAGCAAACGACAATAGGTTGTAGGTTTTCAGCCAGAGGCTACCTAAGCACGGGCGGACCATTAAACACAAAATGAAGGCAGCGATTGACTACGGACGGATCGGCGACTTGTGTGGGAAGGGTAAATCGAGTTATTGTCTCGAATATTCGTGAATCAGTAACGCAGTCAAGCAACCACGAGCCCAACGACGGCCAGTGTCGGTCAGTGCTGGGATGACGAGGGTGCTGAACCCGTTCCCGGGTGAGTGAAGGCAAGGCAAGTGCGAATGATGTGGTGACTGCTGCGCTGCGCAAGGCTATGACGGATAATACAAGGTGAATGAAGGAAAAAGTGAAGTGAAGTGACAGATAAGATCAAGGATGAAGATGGCTAAAAAGGGTTGGCCCTACCTCTGGGGACCTGTAGCGGCGGTAGCGGGTAAGAAAGTGGCAGTTGAGGATGTCGAGGTAGAAGAAGGAAGTCGCACTTCGTTATCACCTGCCGTTGTTCGTTCTGCCATGCCCAGACGACCTACGCCATCAGGAAAGCAGTGGGCGGGCGCGAACGCGGCGGGGTCGTGATTCCTCTCTGATGTTGAGCAAGGCGATAGATAAACGATGAGACAGACAGAGCGATATTGTTAGTTACGGTGAGGGGATGGATAGACTGCTTAGGTGTGCGGTTTAATTTGCGATGGAAGGGGCAAGACTCGAAGTTACAGGATACAGGTCTCGATCAAACCAGTGCCACTCTGAAGGAGAGAACAAGGTAGAAAGATGAGGAAAGTAAGTGGTGTTTTGGGTTTACAGATACGAGTTGATGAATGGATGGCACCTCATGGTTAAACGGTTGACGTGTGTGAGGTGTGTCGACTCCACTATCTGTGGCCCTGAGGACTTCCTAGCTCTGGTCGACAGAGGCCACCTACAGCGCTACCCACGTTTGCAGTAGTATTTCATCCAATGACTCTGCGTTTGTGTTAAACACAGAACCACTGTGAATCGTCCAACTACCTCCCCATCAGGTTCATTAACTGCAAACGTGCACTGTGCCAGGTTCAGGCTTCATAGAGAGAGGAGGGGCAGACACGGTGGTTCTATGTTTATCACGACCAAGAAAGATGGAGCATGGATCCAATATCACAAGGCAGAGAGTATCTTCTCCATTTAGTGTCAGAGTTTTTCTATGCTCCAGTTGATGAATAATACAATACACCCACTTTCTTTTCTTATTGATGGACGTCATCATCTTGAGTCAGCCATGCCCTGATGATGTGATGCACGCGTCCCAAAGCTGACTTTTCCCATGGACAACATAAACATTGCTTTACCAAGGTGCAGCTGCGAGAGATCTTGCATTGTGGAGCGGCCCGCTTAGCTTCATTTGTAGCGGCATCCGTCACGCCGCCTACAAACCCACTGCAACTGACGCTAAAACATGCAGTCATCAACATCGGATATTGCACGGCCAGATGATAGAGCCTCAAGTCGCCCTATAAGAAGCCCATGGTTTGAATTCGACATAGTCAACGCAAACCACTATCAGATCAGAGCGTTAGATTCGATATATTTTTATTATTCGAAAGAACCCAATTCATTGAGTAAGTTTTGGTACTGCCGTTATTCCCTGGCTGCAAGGAAACAACCAAACAGCTTGTAATATGAGCGCTTCACCTCCATCAGATGGCATATTTTACATAGAAGCTTATTATTCTTAAATTATCTAAATTTGCACTAACTACCTCGATTGAATCTTGTAATTTCTTGTAGTCCGAGGGTTGAGTCTTTTAGTAAATATATAGTTACACATTAAGGATATTTTTTACAACTGGGTACTTCATAAACAAGACATGTACGAAGCTACGATGACTTAGATAGTCATCAAGGTGCCAGGCAAGTTAGCTGTTGGGGCATAAGAGGTAACATTGTTAAGTCAGTTTATGCTATTTTATGCTATTTAGGCTCAGCTTTTAGTTTACCTATTTTTGTAGCCTAAAGCTTAAAAGCCAGCTTTTCTGATACCCTGATGACTCCTTAAAGAACCGACACCACAGTCAATTCGGCAAGGAAATTGTTATTTACATTGACTTATTTTAATTAAGAATGACTATTCATCTAACATTATTCCCTATCCCTATGGCTTCAAGGTATCCTTGCCACCCTCAAACTCAGAAACATCATACTCCTCGGGGTACTTGTCCAACATGTCCTTGAGTTCTTTCATCTGGGCCTTCAAGTCATCCGTCATCTCCTCATACATATCCTCGAACATGCTTCGCATCGGTGGTTTCTTCTCCCTCTCCGCCTCGCTAAACGCCTTAAGAATCTCCTTTCGCAGATCAGTCCGGGCTTCCTTCTCCTTAGCCTCATCCCAGATCCCCTGGGCCTCCATCCACTTTCGTAGACGTGTGATGGGGTTATCGCGACGCTTCCAGTCCTCAACCTCAACACGCGCACGGTAAGCGAATGAGTCGTCGGATGTACTGTGATGTGAGACACGGTAGGTCATGGCCTCGATTAGGATTGGCTTGCCGCCATCCTCGAGGGCCATTTCGCGGGCCTTCTTTACGACTTCTCTAACCGCCCAAATATCGTTACCATCAACACGAATGGTATCAATACCGTAACCGATACCTCGGCTGGCAATACCATCGCCGCGGTACTGATCTAGCGTAGGTGTTGAAATAGCGTAGCCGTTGTTTCGGCAGATAAATATGGCAGGGCATGCTCGCGTGGCTGCAATGTTGAGAGCAGCGTGGAAATCTCCTTCGCTTGCTGCACCTTCACCAAAGTATGCCACAGCCACTCGAGCTTTGGAACTCGGGTTCTGAAGCTTTTGCATCTTGAGAGCATATGCGGCCCCTGAAGCATGGGGAAGTTGTGTCGCTAATGGCGATGAAACGGAGTGCTTTTGTCTTCGCATTAGCCTGGGCTTCTGTGTTCTGAATCAGGAAGTACTCACAATATTCAACTCTTTGCTTCCATAATGAACAGGCATACTGCGTCCTCGACTTGGATCCCGTACGTTGCCGAATAATTGACCCATAAAGTCCTTTGCTGTGAAACCTCGCTCCTTGAACACGCCTTGCTCTCGATATTGCGTAAACATAACATCTTCTCGATCCAGCACACTTGAGCTGCCAATGCTGACAGCCTCCTCGCCCGCGCTCACCATGTAGAAGCTGAGGCGGCCTTGTCTTTGCGCGTCGAACATTATTAGATCCATAATTGAGATAAACACCATATCTTTATACAAGCGAATGACCTCCTCGTTGGAGATATCAGGCTTGAACGATTCATCCACAACTACTCCATGCTGGTCTACAACGCGGTACGTCGATAATGCAGGATACGACTCGGGAGATTCGAATTTGAGGTTGCTTGTGAACGCGCTCTTCAATGCACCAGGGAACGAGACAAAGTTCGAATTAGGTCGTTGCGATACACTGCTGGCCGATCGAATAGCAAAGGGTGTTACATGCGGTCTGGAAAGGATGGCCCTTCTCCGGGCGACCTGATGTAGAGCTCGAGACTTCATGATGGATGTGTGTGCTTTGTTTGATGGAGATTCAATTGAGATCTGGGCTATGTTTTCTTTTATTCAAATGGCTAGAACTCAATAACATGGTAGGATAGATAGCAGAGAGTATTACCGAGGGGTTGCCATGTCTGATACCGTGAGGAAGCGACGTCATCCTGAGCCGACACCAACCGTAGGAGCCGAGATAGAAATAAGCCGTGGTTTGACGATATTCGGCACCTTCAGCCAACAATTGACTCCAGAGGCTTGTTGCTATTTCGGTAAAGCCATTGGCTATCTCTCTGGGCCTTCTATGATGTCTAAAGAAGACACTCTTGGCAGTTCAGTTAGTTGATTTCCTCAAATTCCGGCAATGAAGCTCATGATATCCATAAGAACCCCGAACTTATTCTCCCCGCAATTCTTATCGTTACCCCACAATCACGATAAACTCCAGATCTCCATGATGGATCCCAATTTTTAGACCCTTTAACTTTCTAGTTAAGTCTACAACTGTCAACGGCTGTCTGGCACTGCCAAAATATATAGATAATACGCACCATAGCAACCAGCAAAACGTATCATCTATTCATACCTACCTATCGTGAGATGTTTACTTCGCAGATAGTTATTCTACATAGAACAAACAATCTCGATATCTCTATTACACTCGTCTACAACAAAGTGATTCCAAAAAACGAGTGTCATCGCATCTTTAATTTCTCTTTCTTAGTGCGCAACAATGTCAGTCACGCCTGCTGTTTCAATCGCAATTCTAGTCCTCACTCTCTTCGTCGTCTTTGTTGCTATCGCATTGTACTTGAGAAGCCAAGTGCAGGTCTTCATTCGCGCTATCTTTACCCACAATCAAGAGAAGCGCGAGGCAGATGCTTCTACAGTCGCAAACACTGGAGAACCAGTCTAAAGGTAAGACCAAGATCATATCATGAATCCCTTCGACATCCAGCTCGACCTTGATCAATCAAAGAAGACACCGCCACTGTGGCTACAAGGCTGGGACGCCACATCAGCAGCCCCACCAGCAAATTTCCATCTCTCAGCCTCGTATGATTTCGAACTGACTTCAAACAGAGCTTCCCAGCACCTCCGAGGCCCCAAGTATAATCACAATGGCCTCCCGCACAGCTCTCCGGGGCCTTTCCCGTTCATTGAACCCTTCAAGATGTTCCCACACCTTCGTCCGACCTTTTTCCTCCGCAAACGTTGTCCGCAAAGACTACCAAACCCCTACATCTGATCGCCCTACCCACTTTGGCTATGAGACTGTTACCGAAGCCGAGAAGCAGCAGCGTGTTGCTGGTGTGTTTACCAGTGTTGCTGAGACTTATGATAAGATGAACGATTTCATGTCTTTGGGAATTCACCGTCTATGGAAGTACGTCAAGCCTTTGATATGCTGTTACTAGCGCAATTCTAACAATTGGTTCTTTAGAGATTACTTTATCTCTTCTCTGAACCCTGGTTCTACGAACCCCCCTGGACAGTCACAGCGCATTCTCGATGTTGCTGGCGGAACTGGTGACATTGCCTTCCGCCACCTTCAGCACGCCCACGAGTTCAATTGCAATCCCAATGTCTCCGTTATCATCTCCGACATCAACCCGGACATGCTGGCAGTTGGTCGCCAGCGTTCTCTTGCCCTTCCTGCATCCCACCAGGCTGCACTCTCTTTTCTGGAGGCCAATGCCGAAATCCTCCCTTCCCAAATTGAGGATAATTCTCTCGACCTCTACACTGTTGCCTTTGGTATCCGCAACTTCTCCAACATCCCTGCTGCGCTGAAGGAGGCGCACAGAGTTCTCAAGCCCGGCGGCGTGTTCGCTTGTCTTGAGTTCTCCAAGGTCGATAAGCACCCTATTTTTAACACTATCTACAAGCAGTGGTCTTTCAAGGGTATTCCCCTGATCGGCCAGCTAGTGGCAGGTGACCGAGACAGTTACCAATATCTGGTGGAGAGCATCGAGAGATTCCCCAGCCAAACCCAGTTCAGGGATATGATCAAGAACGCCGGCTTTGTCGTTGCTGGTGAGGGTTATGAGGATCTTACTGGTGGCATTGCCGCTATTCACAAGGGCATGAAGCCTATCTAAGATGGCTCATGCAAGCAATGTAATTTAGTCTGTAAAATAGTACATCGCAGTCACGATATATCACGAGTAGTCAACCAGGGAGTCTGACAGTGTATAAATAGGAAGTTAATTCATTCCAGATCGCCCTTGACCCTATCCCCCAAACCCGCCTCCAATGATCATCAGCACATCCACGTCCATGACGTGCGTTCAGGGCCCAGAACGATATTTTTAAATTCTCTTCGCAACTAAACTCCATACATGTCAAAACTAAAGCCACGCCCTCGTTGTGAGGGGAAAGTGGTTTCGAAATCTCATTAGGTACACGATACATAAAAACGAGGGCGTTGGGACGTCCCTCAATTTTCCTGTCTCTTGCGCCATTGCCAATTCAGGCAAAGGCGAGACAAATAGGTGATGCCAGAAAAAAAGGTGGCAAGGTTAAATAACAAGGCCACAGTCATAAGTCATGGCCTTACAAAGAGTCTGTAACGACTTTCCGGTCTTGAGTATGGTATTATTCCGCGGGTGTTGAGGGAGCGGCAGCAGGAGATGATGTATCTCCCTTGAGGCCACCACGTCCACGTCCACCACGGCCGCGATCTCCACCTCGACCACCGCGACCACCTCGGCCACCGCGTCGGTTGGATTCAGAATCGCTAGCGCCTCCCGCACTACGGTATCCGCTGGTGTTGGTAGCTCCGCCGCGTCCACTGGCACCCCAGTTACCAGCACCGCCTCGGCTGGCGTATGTCTTGTTTTCGCGATGTTGGAAGACCTTGACCAGAGGCTTAGATCGGTCCTCTTGAGTCCGAGTCTTCACATCATCGGGAAGTCTGTCCAAGGCCGTATCACGGTCTTCAATTGTCTTAAACTGAACAACCTTGTTGGAGTTACCCCACTTGTCGACCTTCAGAATCTTGTTCTTGTCCTCATCGCTGAAAAGATCTCGGCATTGCTCCTCGGTACTAACATTCATAATGAAGAGTCCAATGATATCAGAGGCGGGCGTCTTGGGGGCGGGAGAGGAGACACGTTCGGGAGCATGGGCTGAGCCATTTGCGCCAGCCGAAGATGAGGTCTTCTCTGAGTCCTTGTTGGCGGACGGAGCGGGACTGACTGAGGTTGGGGCAGGCTGAGGGGTGGCGGACTTAGGAGGGCCAGGCAGAGGAGTTGCGACGGCAGGCTTAGACTGAACTGCTGAAGGCTGTCGGCTGGTAGGAGGGGGAGCGCTGGACTGAGTTGAGGGAGGGGCGGGCGAGGGAATGCCAGTCGGGCCAGCTGTAGTGGGAGGGACGCCGGGCTGCTGCTTAGCGCCTCGGTGGGAGAAGTTGAATCCTTGAGCCCTCATCTCTGTGCCGATACGACCGTCCTGGACCTCGAGAACCAGGTAACCGAAAGCAGCATCAGCAAGGTTAAAGTTCCACATGTTCTTGAAAGCACTCTCATCGACTTGTCCAAGAGAAGCCTGACCAGCAACAGGGCCACCGAAGGGGTTTCCACCGGCAGCGGTAGTAGGCATCTTCTCGACGATCTGAAGGGCGTTCTTCAAAAGATTCTGCTGAGCCTCATTCTGTTGAATGGCAGGTTCCACTTCACCCTTGACAGTCTCCCACACGTCGTTGAAAGAAGCCTTGGAGGCGGCAAGCTTGCCTCGGTAATGGTCGAGAGTAGGGTTGACACTGAACTCGTTGTAAGAGCTACCATATCGGAAGTGAAGTCCGGCAGAGATGGAGAAGTCGGCCTTGAGGGTTACTGAAAGCTGGTTCAGGATACCCTCACGAGCTGGCGACGCATGCGTGACAAAGATGCGGGTTTCGGTAGGGTCATAAACACGGTGAGCGGTGTCGACAAGCTCGCCCATTTGCAAGAGAGTCGTCCACATAGTTCCTTGGCCACCAGCAATAGTAGTGCGGCCTTCGCCATTATCGAACAGCTTGTGCATGACAACTGCACCGCCAAGACCAAGCAGTCGTAGTTTGACACCGCCAACCTCCAGTAGCATTGATCGGGCCTCGTCAATAATGTGCAGGTTAGGTACCTTATACTCGCCTGTTCGGAACTTCTCCAATACTCGGACATCTTCACAGGCACCCCAGACAGTGTAGACAGGTACATCAAGCTTGACCTCGCCACTGATGAGGAGAGGCAACTCGGAGAGCGGGAGCTCATTAGGGGGGAACCGAGTCTTGACTGGGCCAGGGCCACCTTGTTGGATGGCCTTCTTGACAGGCTCGGAGATCAAGGGAGAGTACTGAGCAACATGCTTAAGCGTCTTCTCGGCGATTCGCTCCAAGGAAGTGTCGTCGTAAAAACCGAAATCACCAGTGTGAATGATGTGGTCAGCTCGGGCCTGTTTCGCAAGATCGTTGAGTGATCTCAAGTTTCCTGTAACAATATTTAGCACTTCTCCGTTCAGGCTTTTCATGGCTACTGACCTCGAACATCGGCAATGCAGAGAACCCTCAAGGGACCAGTCTGGAGAACGCGGCCCTGGTTTGGCAAGAGTGGTGCGGCACCGGTAGGAGGTAGACCGCCGGTCGCACCGTTCTGGAGGTAGCCTGGGCCCGTGTTATTGTACGGTCGCTGCTATTTGACTCTGGTTAGCTTGTTGTTTCCATCAATGCCATCGTGCAGCCGATATAACGGCACTCGTTCTAAGGTTCATGGTGACGTGGAGTTGCTGATTTCGAAGTTGAGGCCAACCAACGGGGGCGCAACGGCGGAACAACACGCGAGCGGGGAGAACGCATGTGAAATAGCAAAACCATATGGATGATGCGAGGAAGGTAGACTCGATCCCAAATTATCTAGCAAAGTGTTGCAAATAGCGCCAAGTTGGAGGTTGTTTGGAAAGGCCCGTGAGTAGTGCGAGGTGGATGGGCAAATCACAGATAATAGAAGGGGCCATGTCATGGAGGTAGCACTCACAGCAGCCATTCTATCAATCAACTGATTCTATGCGCTCGAAATCGGTCGGGGAATTCGCGTAGTCGGGTGATGGCGCGGGTAAAGAGGATCAAAGCTCTTTTGGTGGGAATAGAGCTGGAGGAGAGGATATGAATGGGTATCAAAAGAGGTGATGATGAGGAATTGAAGACAGGGAGGCAATCACGGGGAGTGGATTTTCGCAGCTCTAGGTCTAGGTAGCAAGGCTGCCCAGTGTTGGTTAGAGGTAGAGATAATTTCTAGGTGGCCCCAAGAATCGGGAGACAACGCCTTTCCCTCTTTGGGCTTAGCTTCATCAGCTCCAACCTGTGACGAAGACTTGTCCACCTCGCTGAGTTAGACCAGGGGAGCTCTATCTCAATGGCGCACTAGATCGGTTAATGCTCGGTGCTTACACCGTTTGGACGATTCACCTCCGTTTATTGTGAAGAAACCGTTTTGGCATTTATGCTACCCTGAACAATGAATTCTGTATACAAGAACATTAACAGTCCCGATACCAGACATGGCAAAAGATGGTTCTATGAATACTTCTCATAACTCAGACTAAATTCAACTGCAGTTTGCATGACAATTGATGTAATTCTCCAATTATGTCCATCAGCAGTACTTGACTTGTCTTTCAGTTCTTTGTTCAAACTTCGTGTTACGGCGCCCTGTGTTCTTGGTTAGCCAGCTCAATACGCCGTTTATCCTGCAGATCATTTTTGCGCAACTGAGCCTAAAGCTCATGTATACATGAGCCATTGTTACACAGTTTGTTCCTCAAATATGACTGATAAATCTGATGATTACCTTGGATGTATATTCAACATACCTACCTATCAATTTAATTCTGGCTTTCTATTCACAACTGTCACCATGACGATGGAACCTTATTCAACGA